TCTTCTGCGGCGATCGAATTCTAAGGGGCGAAACATGGTGTTCTACTTCAAAGCGCGATCGGACGTGGGCGATTTCACCATTTTCATGGGCCTCGACAAGTTCGAGAACGAGGAGCTCATCAAATATGGCTTCCCCGAAGACATTTGGTAACTCCTTCACCCAATTCTCTGTCTCCAACTTTTCGAATTTTCAATCCAATTCGCAGTTTATCCCAATTTTTCATTAGAAAGATTAAATTTGTAATTGCATTTTTTGTCAAGTTTTGAAATTTCTGGTCAAGAATCAAGAATTAGGTCAATGATGGGGATTAGATTAGGGAGGATTTCAATTTTCCCACAATTAACACGAAAGGATTATGTGGTTTGTTTAGTTCTGACCGTATCGGGATCAGTTCATATTGTTTCAGAATTGGGATTGTGTGCATTTGTATGAAAGAATGAATCGGAAATTTTGTGACACTGCCATGTTATGACTTATTTTAGATGTTGAATGTTTAAGGAATGCATGTTTCGCCGGTTTTCTAGTAATTGTTTGTTAAGTTCAGACCGTGTTTATGCGTTAATCCTGTGTTTGATTGTTTGAACTCGTAGTTAGTAACTCAGAGGACAAAAGAACTTGTTATTAGTAGGGAAATTGTACTATGTAAGCTTGAAGTTTTATGTAATGGGATTTTGGCGTTACAGGTTCCATGTGGACAAAATGTCTTCCGCCCATGTTTATGTTAGGCTGCACAAAGGACAGACCATCGATGATATAAGTGAAGGTTTACTGGAGGATTGCGCTCAGCTTGTCAAAGCAAATTCCATCCAAGGCATTATCTAAACAGATTCTTATATTTTAGAGTAATTGGTTCCGTTTTGTAATTTCATCCAAGCCTTTTTCTTTTTTTATTTTCATTCCAATAAGGATACTGCAATGTTGTCGTGTCCTAATGATGTGTCATATTGCAGGCAACAAGGTAAACAATGTTGATGTTGTTTACACTCCCTGGTCCAATTTGAAGAAAAGTGCCTCCATGGATGTTGGTCAAGTTGGTTTCTACAATTCGAAGAATGTGAGCTTCTTTATATTGTAGCCTATGTACATTATTATGTGGAATAGTAACAGGCTATGTAGTTTGTATTTTCATTGGGTTTAAGATGCATGGAGATACTGATCATTGTCCAACAATGACACTTTATTTAGGTTCGGACTGTGAGGGTGGAGAAGCGGATCAATGAGGTAGTTAATAGATTGAACAGGACAAAAGTAGAAAGGAAGCCTGATTTGAAAGGTAAAGTTTTAGTCTCAGCTTTATTTTAGTTTGTTTACAAACGTGGCTCTAAAAATCCAATCTTGAAAAACAGTACTCAGTTTGCTCTTTATGGAGGAAAGTTGACACTTCAGTTTCCTTTCGATATCTCTGGCCTAGTATGTCTTATGTATTATTTGTAGTTATGGATATTGTAAGTGATATTGGTTTTCCAATGTTACCCTTGTCTTTTTATGGCGTAATGGTGCGATAACTAACGTGCTAATAAAATGTAACTGCAGCTGAGCGAGAAGCTGTTAATGCAGCCGAAAGAGCTGAGAGAAAGCAGTTCCTGAGGGACAAGGTAAGTTCCTCCTCCTGTCTTGGCTAGTAGCGTGTGCGATTATCTGAGCGTATTCTTCACCTTATTAACTTCTAATTTGCTTCATGTATTTTTGCTCTTATACGTGAAGCTGTACCGTAGAACTTATTGACTTCACTACATCTCCGGGTTTTGAATTTTGCAATGGTTAATGTACTGAATCTTAATTTAGTAATAGTTCTACAACTTGTTTTTGATCAAATGATACTGCATTAGGCTAGGCTGTATCTTGCATTATTATAATGTAAAATGTGATGTTCTTGTGTTGAACAAAACAATTTAACTTTAAGGAAACTATTCTGCAGAAACGACGGGAGGAGATGGAAAGGCTTGAGAAGGAGAGACAATTGGAACTAAGGAGCTACAAAGGTTTGATGAATTCTGAAAATATGACATCTAACAAACAAATTGCATCGACAAACAAGTCATTGCAGGAACTGGAAGAGGACTTCATGTAAGGATATCATTCTCTATGGGTTGGGTGAGACGCTGCTGCCCGCTGCCCGCTGCCCATGAAGAATAGAGTTTATCATTCAGTTTGTGAGTTAGTCCTAAACCTTTTATTTTGTTGATGTCGATAAGAAAAAGAGAAAACACAACAAATGGAGGGAGGAAAGAAAATGGGTGAATGGGTGAGGGTTGGTTCGTGGTTATCTCTTTCTTGTCATGGTGATGCACAAAAATCAAACTTCATTGAGGATGATGATGAATGATTTATTTGCAAAAATATTTGCAACATTTTAAAACCCTTAATTTATATTTGCCTATTTCTGAATGATTTACTAAAATCATATATATGTGTATGTATATGGAGATTATGCGATGTAGGTGTACATTTTGAAAAGGAGGGGACGGGAAATGGATAGGTTGCTCTTTCTCTTGGTCCATGCGAAAAGGAAAAAGAATTTCATGTTCTTTTCCCAGAGATGGATAATTACTTGCTTAGTAAGCTCCATGTGTGACAATCTAAACTATCGTGGTGGCGATGCATCATTCAAATAACTGACTATAAACTTTTGAGCAAAAAATAAAATACGCAAATGCAAAATGTGTTCACCATTTTTTATTGGAAAAACCTCTTAACTAATAAGTAGAAACTCCCACCAAATTTTTGCTCTACTCAAATCAACATTCTCGCTTTCGTTTCGTCCACAGCCGCTTGTTTCTTAGATTCAAAAATATTTTAATATTGGAAAGTTAAATACGAGGATACGCCAGCATATACCATGACCTTTTTCACCTCACGCGTGATGATGAAGCATTGAATCGGAGCAAACTCTAAGTTCAATTGCAGTGCAACAGGCGATTAGAGCAACCAACGGAGCAGGCAAATGATCAGCCAAATTTATTTTGATAATCTACATAGACAAAATCAAGCTTTAATTGACTAGTCAGCTGAGTAGGCAAACTTTGCCTACTCCTCAAAGTAGGCAACATTGGTTATCCTGAGTAGGGGTGGTTTTGGTATATTATCGTATCAAAATCTCTATACCAATTACCATACCAAATATTTGGTACGGTAAAATCTTTTATCATTACCGTACCAAAATTTCGATATACCAAATAGTTTGGTTGGTATGGTATGCCAATGGTAATTGTCACTTTGTTTTACGCCACTTAGTTTGTCCAAAATCTAATATTTTTTAATTAATGTAGAAGTGTAAAAAATATAGAAAAAATATATAAACGTTCGTAATGACAAGTTTTACAACTTTTGTGAATAGCTTAACTTTGAAATTCATCATTATAATCATATAAATCATATATCAAAATTTAACCGTTGATTGTTTTTTACATTTATACTTCATTTTTCTCATCAAAATTTTTTTTTTTGGATTTTCTTTTTTGAAATCATGATCTATTAGAGGATGCAGGAAGATGAACGGTTTAGATCGTTGATATTATGTTCAGAGTTTTACAGTTAGTGAAAATGTTGCTTGATGTTTATAAAGTTTCTACAAACTATATGACATTGACTCATATTTCAGTTAACTGTAAATATCGAAACGTGATATCAAAGATTTGAACCGTTCATCTTCTTACATCCGCCAGATGATCATGTTTTCAAAAAAGAAATTTTTAAAAATGGAATTCAGTAAAAATAAAGCGTAAATAACAATCGACGGTTAAATGTAAATTTAAGGTTTATGGATTATAGTTTTGGATTTTGAAGCTAAACTCTTTATGAAAGTTGTAAAGCTTGTCACTACGAGTGATTTTATATATATTTTTTACATTTTTTACACTTCTACAATAATTATTATTAATTATATTAATTTTGCCCTCAAATAATTATATGAATAAATACATAATATAATATTAATAATATTGGTTGGTATGGTATACCACTGGTACTGGTTTTGGATACCAGTACCGTACCAAAACAGTATGGTACGGTACAAATATCGTACCATTACCAATTGGTACAAATTTTTGGTAATAATTTGGTATGGTATGGTTGGTAGGGCGGTTGATACGGTAATTTGGTAAAAATTTCCACCCCTAATTCTGAGTATGCAAATTGGGTCTCACATTATTATTTTTTGTTATAGTGCAATACTTTATGTAGAAGAAAATGACAAAATTAAAATGTAAAAGTAAATTTTATAGATAAAAGAAAAAAAATATTAGAGTAATGTTAAAGATATCAAATTTTAAACCATTTTTTTAGACTAAATAATGTGATAGTTGATGATTATATTATTTCTTTAAATTATAGAAAGAGAATTCTAACCATCAATTGTCACGTCATGTAATTTATGATAGAGTAAATTGTATCAATGATCCCTCAATTTTAATCACATTGGAACAATGGTCCCTCAACTAAAAATCAATTACCATTAGTCCCTTAACTTATCAAAATGTGTAGCTATAGTCATTTTCATCAATTTCATCAAAATTTTGTCAAAATAAGTTATGTTGGAATAACCATTCATATAATTAGGGCCCTCAACTCATTAAAGTGTGTATTTATGGTCATTTTCGTCAACTACGTCAAATTTTTTGTCAAAACGAGTTATGTTAGAAAAATCATTGCTACAATTGTGTTAAGGTTAAGGGACAATTTCTCCAGTTGAATTAAATTTGAAGAACCAATAGTAATGGACTTTTAATTGAAAAACCATTGCTCAAATTGAGTTAAAATTAAGAGACCATAATTACAATTTACTTTTTATGAAAAAAATAATCTAAAATCTTTCTCTCCCAAGCATTACTATTTCCAAGTTTTGACTAAAATCCGTGGGTCCCAACATTCATCAGTCACCACTTACGTGTCATAAAAATGGAGCATCTCGGAGCAGAAATCTGTACGACAAACAAGCCATAACTGAACCCGGCCCACTACTAAGAACTACTAAAACCGAAAAGCGAGCTGAAAAAGCCCGAACAAAGTTAGAAATATCCCCCTCCAAAACCCTAGAACCTCTCTCCCCTCCCTCACTCTCTCTCTCTCGCTCTCGCTCTACCTTTCCTCTCATCGCTCTCGCTGTTCGTAAGCACGGTCTCACTCTCTCCCTCTCTCTCTCTCTCTCTCCCTCTCTCTTCACAACAATGGCGACGCCTTCTTTGGACGAAGAAACCTCGAAGAAAGTGCTGCGCCAGGTTCGATATTCAAACGCTCCTAAATTTTGATCATTTTATTCGAATTTATCAAATTTCTGATTAAAATTAATTTCCCCCCTAAAAAGCTCGATTTTATTTATTCTTTTGCAGGTCGAGTTTTACTTCAGCGACAGCAATCTTCCGAGGGACGATTTTCTCAGTAAAACGATTAGCGAAAGCGAAGATGGACGTATCCTTACTTTATCAAATTTCTGAGTTTTTCAAGTCTAATTAAATTATTATTATTATTATTATTATTATTATTTTGTAAGTAATTTTGTTAGGGTTTGGATTTCTGGGTTTTGAGTTGGCCTTGACTTTGACCGTTAGTGGTAAGCTTGGCTCTGATATGCTCGTTTACACGGATGAGAAATCATCTCAATTTGGGCGATGTGAAGCCCGATACTGTCCCCGAAGCTAGCGTAAAGGCCGTTGCCGAAACGCTTCGACAATCTGCCACTCTAAAGCTTTCGGAAGACGGTGAGCTCACCGTTCTTAATCACTAGAACGCAAGTAGAAGACTTTTTTTATTACTAAAAAGCTGCTTTAAATTAACAAAATTTGTTTCTGTTCGATGCCTAATAGATCGTATGTATGTGTTTTAGGGACAAAGGTTGGTAGGGCTAATGAAATGCTGAAGCCGGAGGAGGTGATAGAGCAGGTAGACAACAGAACAATAGCTGCTTCGCCATTTGCGTTTGATGTGAAGCTTGAAGATGTCGAAACTTTTTTTAGACAATTTGCCAAGGTATTGGTTGCGGCACCATCATTAAGTGGCATTGGATTTGCTGTTGCTTTCTATCTTTTTCGTATTTGATACATGTTTGGACTTACTCTACATAGGTTGTATAGCTAAGTGTGGTTATAAATTTTAAACCATGTCAGTATTAGTCTGCTGCAAAGAGTCCATTGTGGAGTGAAATTTCAGTATTTTGTAAAAATATTTGTGCCTTCAATTTAATGTTGCAAGTGTATGAATTTGTTCTCAATTGGTTCAGGTTAACAGTGTGAGGCTGCCTCGTCATGTAGCTGACAAAAAGCTACTATGTGGCACTGCTTTGGTTGAGTTTTCAACTGAGGAAGAAGCCAATAAGATTTTGGAGCAACCTTTGGAATCCGCAGGTGTTAAGTTAGAATTGAAGCCGAAGTGAGTTTCACTTGTTGCATACCGCTGTCATACAGTAAATTTGTTTTTTTGCAATTTTATTTAATGAGTTTATGACAATACAAAAAGGCATTGACCTGTAATTGAAATAAAAAAATTCTGGTTCTTTTATGACGTAAATTTCTCCCCTGTCAACTTGTTTTTGTTTGATATTAAATGCAGCTTAACAAATAAATCGTTTTTTTTTATTCTGTAATTTTTGTTCTTGCAAGTCCTTGTTTGTATATCTGCATGTTCTAATAGAGATTGTGTGATTTAGGAAGGATTTTGATACCGATAGAGAAAGAGAGGTAAAGGAATATGAGGCTCGACCTGTTACAAATACAAAGGGCAAGAATAGCACGAAAGCAGAGGCTGAGTAAGTGGATACGCTATTTGGTTTCCAGCTTCTTTCTCTTTTGGGTGTTTAGCCTGATTAACTTATCTTATGATGTTACAGCTACCCTAAGGGTTTAATTGTTGCATTCACGTTAAAGAGCTTGTCTGGTAATGGTCCTGCAGTGGTTAGTAGTATGCCTGACAATGCCAATGATAGTACAAATGGTAGTGCTGAAGAAACAGAAAAGAAAGTGTCAGAAGATGTTAACGGGGCGAATGAAGATGTAGAAGTTTCTGGAGAAGATGTTAAGGATAATGTAAATTCTGATGAGAAGAATAGTTTGGATGAAGTGAAGGAAGCTGGAGATGGGGAAAAGCCTTCTGAAGGTTCCGTTCCAAAGGGTGGAGAGAAGGAAGAAAGATTGAATGCTGCTGCATACAAAGACAACATGGATGTTGTTTTGCGTGAGGATTTGAAGGCTGTCTTTGAAAAGTTTGGCACCGTAAAGGTATCACTATTATTCTCTTTTACTTTTTTGCTTGAATTTATGTTTCCCGTGCGTCATTAATTCGGTACTCTTAAGAATTTGTAGGTAGATTCTTTGCATTCGTCATGGTTGAGTGTATTGTGGTTAATTTGTTTTGACATTTTCACACTCGTTTCTGTCATGTAAAGTACATTGATTTCAAGATCGGAGAAGAATCAGGATACATTCGGTTTGAAGAACCTGAAGCAGCTCAGAAAGCACGTGCGGCTGCAGTCTTGACCGAGCTAGGAGGTCTGGCTGTGAAGAATTTCATCGCTACTTTGGAACCAGTCAGCGGTAGGCAGCAACTGTCATCTTTATTTCATTTGTAGTTTTTCATCCCGGAGCCTGATGTGTCATGAATACTAGTTTTCTATTCTCTTGTATTGAATGCTGTTTTACATGCTATTCTTTCAGGTGAGGCTGAAAAGGAGTACTGGAACCTCTTCCGTGGCAACCAAGAAAAGTTCCGCGATAGTAAGAACCACCGCGGAGGAAGGTTAGTGTAGTTCTTTGCATCCCCATCGCCCAATTGCTGTTGTCGCTTTCACCGGATTTAATCTGCAATTCCCATATCTTATTTTTCGATTTATGTTTAGCAGGGGAGGCAAGCACCATAGGGGTGGGTGGAAAGGCCGCTCAAGAGACGATAATTCCGGGGGTCGCCCGAATAAAGTCCGCAGATTTTGATCCTCTTTCGGATAAATTTTGTGCAATACCTTATAGAGATTAATAGTAGCACAATTGCTTTTTGATAGAGCCCGGTCTCTATTAGCTATAAAAAGCATGGTATTTTTTGCATCTTCGAACATTAATCTAGTTCTGGTACTTGTCCGTGTAACTCGAATTATATAATTTAAAGGTTGTTTTCCTAATTTTATCTTATTTCTCTTTACCTATGTTTGAAGATTTTGCTAGCTTTACTGAAGCGTTTAAATTCTAAAAAAATCGTGAAAGTTGGCACTTTAAACGCTTTTTCAGGGTTCACTAGCATTGTCATTATAGATTGATTTTAAAAATATTTTCACAACAAACACTTTCAACCAGTTTAAACCAGTTTAAAAGTATTGTCAAACGAATTATTGGAATTTTTATTTTTTGTAATCTCAGTTTGGTAGGTGGTGACTTTTTAAAATGATCATTTAATAATGTAACAGGAGTCTTGAGTATTTGAATTAATGAAACGGACATTTGCAAATTGCAATATCCATTTCATCGTAATAAAGATATTTGACCAAACTAATCACTCCTGGTTTAAAATCTCCCTATTTTCTCTTCCTAATTAACCTTTTTTAAGGTCATAAGTATTATTTTTTTCCATAACCATCCCTCTATACATATATAGATTATCGTTTGAGCTGTTGCCGACACTTTAAAAATAATATTGTGTACTCTAAATTTCAAAAATGTTGCTCTCATCACTCTTTTTATATCCAATTTTGTGTTTTCAGCTCACAAAAGTATTAAGTTTATTATTATTTATTCAAATTTAACATTTGATATGATTTTTATTTATTTATAAAATATAAAATAAAATAAAAAACTCAAAAGTGCCAGGATTGGTCGACGGATGGACAATAGTTAGTGGATTGATATTAGAATCTTTTCGTTTTTATTGAAATTAAAATCTTAAAATCCTAACCACGAGCTGGTGGTCTAGTGATAAAAAACGGATTACGAGATTTTTTTAAAACTGAAAACTAAAGTCTCGTGTTCGAAACCTGCTGCTGGTATGGAAGCTAGACTTGTGGTCTGAGTCTTCCTAACCCTCGAAACCCGCTGCTGGTGTGGAAGCGAAATTTGTGGTTAGGGGAGACTGAAATACCTCTGTACGTCTTTCTGGCTCTCGAAATAAGTGAATAACCGTGATTTGACACAAGTTGTCTCTCTTTAAAAAAAAAAAAAATCTCAAAATCGTAATATTGGCCGAAAAAGAAAAAGGGAAAACAAAAGTAAAAGGGGAGGAGAAAATTTATTTGTCCCGTTGAAATTTAAAAAAAATTAGGTGGTAAGGCAGGTCTTGGTAGGGCCGGCATCAATTCATACGTGGCAAAATATCCACCGTTGGTTATTTCAAACCTGCTTGACCTTCAACTCCAGGTTTGAAACTCCCACAGTCCGCCCCTTTATTTTTGAATAGAGATCCGGACCGTTTCACTATCTCACTCCTCTCTCTCTCTCTCTCTCTCTCTCTCTCCTCCTCCCTACTGTGTGTGAGCAGATCTCTTTTCAAATTTTCCATTTCTTCGCTTTCGATCTTCAAATGTGCTCTTTTGCGATCGCGTCGTCGACTTTCTCTCTCCGTGGAATCTCTGCTCTTCGCTCTTCCAAGCTCTGTTCGGTCAGTGATTTAGGGTTTTCACTTGATTGAATTTGAATTTTCTTTTTTGTATTGATCCCAATTTTTTTTTTATTGAATCCATTTAATTGAAGCTTATTCTGGCTCGGATTTTAAGTTCTCTGCGAGTTGGGTTTATTTGAATTTGAATTCTTGGATAATTTATTCGTGTCTGAGGGCTTAATCTGCTGGTTTTTGATACAGTTCTCATTGATTTTCAGTTAAACTTGAGTTTGATGCAATCAGTTTACAAATCTACTCAATCCCATTCTTCAGTTTGAAACCAAGGACTGGCTGTTGAAGTTGTAGCGATACAATTTGTTGAATTTTGTTTTTTTGTGTGCCAACTTTGATTTTATATTTGAATTACTAAGCTTTGGCTGAATCAATTCACAATTGAGCTTAGATTATCAATTCTTAATTTGTAGTTTATTAGTTCTCCATATGGGGGTTTCATTTCTTGATGAGTTTCTACCATCGATTTTTGAGCTTAATGTCTCTTTAACTTTCTTGTGTTTTTGCAGTTTGTGGGTCTTCTGTGCAACAAGTTCGGCCCCACCATTGCTTAGCGTGATTATCATGATTTGGAGTCCAAATTCTAGAGAGAATCGTCGAGTAGGAATCCGGGTATGCAGCTTGACTTGTGTGTTGTTTAACTATGGAAGGTGAAAGAACAAATTCTACTCCTTCGGAAGGGCTCGGTGACAGCATTCAGAAAGTTCGAGCTCTCCATGGGTAATTCTGTTTGAAGACTATTCATTGTTTTGTTGATGTCATTACCAGTTGTCCATATTCCTTTGACAATTTGCTTCATTTAAAATTGTTTTACTTCTTGTTTATTCCTGTCAACCTACTTGATCGTTTTCAGTGAAATTAAAGAAGAATCATGCACCACAAGGATGTGTTCAGTGTTTTGTAAAAACTGTTAAACTAAAGTGCATATATTCATTGGTCAGCAATTACAAGGGTGTCGTGTGTGAGTGCATGTGTGCATTGTTAAATTGTTGACCTTCTATGTTATAGGACTCTCTCTCTCTCTCTCTCTCTCTCTCTCTCTCTCTCTTTTGGTTTAGTATGGTAAAATTCTCCTTGACAGAGAATTAGTTATACGACCCAGTTTTGGTCTGATATTTAAGCAACTCTTTTGTAGGAGGACTAGTGGGCCTACAAGGCGTTCTACGAAAGGACAATGGACACCTGAAGAGGTAAATTTTCTTTTAAAATAACATGCTGTCAAAAAGATGCATAAGTTTATGGCTTGTTGCGTATTAACACCTTGGCAGTCAGAATTTCACCGAGCGAATTTTTAAATTGCTTTAGCTGCTTTATTTGATACATCATTGATATTTAAATCTCAAATTACTGTGTTTTTGTTTAATACATTCTCCTAGTTACATGCATATTTGTCATTCATTCGTTATCCCTCTTTCTTTATGGAATATGTGGCGCACAATAATATATTCTCTGTCCATTCAGGATGAGATCTTGCGGAGGGCTGTTCAGCGTTTTAAAGGAAAGAATTGGAAAAAAATAGGTATTATTGTGTTACTAATGTGTCCATCTCAATTAGCATGTCATGATAGATTGTTTTCACTAAAGTTTAGCCCTGTTCTCTCTCTCCCTCCCCCCCCCCCCCCCCAATTATTTGAATTGACCAAAGATTTTTATTTCAGTTGATGCTACTTATTATTTATCTATGTTCTGTTCATTTTTTAATTGGAATCTTGGCTATTTGTAGCGGAGTGTTTCAAGGATCGGACTGATGTGCAATGCCTACATAGATGGCAGAAAGTCTTGAATCCCGAACTGGTCAAAGGTCCATGGTCTAAAGAGGTATTGCACTACTTGCATCTTATTCTTGTGTTTGTTCTGTCGCCTCATTTGTTTGTTGATTTTTTGTCGGATCAACTCATATTTCTCTTTTTTACATGCAATGTTTTCTTACTAGTTGTTTCTGCAAAATTGATTAGGAGGATGAAGTTATTATTGAGTTGGTGAAAAAATATGGTCCAAAAAAGTGGTCCACTATTGCACAGCATTTACCTGGACGTATTGGTAAGCAGTGTCGGGAAAGGTATGAAAACAGAATTTCTTGTGGATGATTTCATTGATACAATCCTGTTACTCTTCAATCCTGATTTAGTATTTGTTTCTTTTTCTGACCATGTTGGAACTACTTTTAGGTGGCATAATCATCTTAATCCTGGCATAAACAAAGAGGCATGGACACAGGAAGAGGAGTTGGCTCTGATACGTGCTCATCAAATGTATGGGAACAAATGGGCAGAGCTAACGAAGTTCTTGCCTGGAAGGTATGCCCATACATTATTTAGAGGCAAAGAGTCTCTGTTATTTCTATTTACATTTAAAAAAAACTGAATGTTTTCCATTGCTACTACTGTATGTCCTTTTACTCTGGTGCACTGGCAACAATTGTGATATATCTATACTTGCATGGTCAACAGGACAGACAATTCTATAAAAAATCACTGGAACAGTTCTGTGAAGAAGAAGTTGGATTCTTACTTGAAATCGGGTTTGCTTACACAGTTTCAAGGGATGCCTCATGTTGGAAATCAAAACCAACACATGATGTCATCTTCTTCAAGAATGCAGAGCAGTGGAGATGATAGTGGTGCCAAAGGTGCAGAAGTAGAAGAAATTTCAGAATGCAGTCAAGATTCAACTGTTGCTGGTCACTATCTCTCAGCACCTGAAATGGCCAATGTGGTACCACATACTAGAGAGGAGTTTGGGAATAATGATGTTTCCCGTTTAGCGAATGACCCAAGCTGCAGTCCAGCATCTTGTTCAGAACCATACTACCCATCTATGACTATAGGAGATGCCAATTTTTCCGTTCCAGAAATACCTCCTGAATTGGTTTGCTCCAAATTCCTGGAACAAAATTTCTCACATGATGCTGGAGCTTCGATGGGTGGGGATTTCCAGTTAAATTTGCATGAGTTACCTAACATTTCTTCACTGGAATGCGGCCAGGAATCATCAAGCATGTACACTCATTGTATGAGGTCTAATGAGAGCCATGAAGGGGTGGAGGCTCCATTTCAAACTTCAACTTCCATGGGTAACATGGCCTTCGGTTCAGTTAAATCAGAGCACATGTTGATATCTGACGATGAATGCTGTAGGGCATTATTTTCAATGAATGGTGGGTGTTTTCCCTCTAGAGATTTTACAAATTGCTCAAACATAGTTGATTTGGGTGCTTGCACAGATTCAGTACTTCTCCAACCCGCAAACCTCCAAATATCTGAAATTGGCAGACCTTCAGCTTCACAATCATATCAACCCCTGAATTCTGCTGTAATTGGAACTTCTTGCTCTCAAGTAGTTTCTGCTTATGAAAATCCACTGATATATGCTGGAGAACCTACTCATTTATTCAGAGTTCAAGACCAAGAGTTTGTGACAAGTTTAAATGATGGATTTATCTATAATAACGAGTCTGCCAGTTCTCCCTGCAAATCAGATCTGGTTAATGATTCTTCAAAATTAGTCCCTGTAAATACATTTGGTTCGGGAT